GACGCTTGGTAAGGTGGATGAGTCTGGGAGAAGCGTTCATGATAGACTAAAGGGGGGATAACCTGTGTAGTGGCCGACGAGGAGGGAGTGACAGTAGTCGAGGCGAGAGATTACAAGGGAGTAAATCAGAAGCTTTGTGGTTTTGTTTGTTAAAAAGGGAGACATTTTAGAAATGTTACGGAGGTTGAATCGGCAAGATTTGGATAGTGATTGGACGTGGGGCTGAAAGGAAAGCTCAGAATCACCGATTACTCCGAGCACCCTGACTTGAAGGGAAGGGTTGATTGCAGTGCTGTTGATTGTGATGGAGAAGTCCGGGGAGGAAACACGGAGAAAAGGAAATATTATAAGCTCCGTTTTTGGACAGATTGAGTTTGCGGTAATTGTGTGACATCCACGCTGAGATGTCACTGAGTAGATTAGAGATACGTGAAGAGACAGATGGGGCGAGCTGCGGAGTGGAGAGATAGATTTGGGTGTCATCAGCATAATGATGGTAATGGGAGGCTATCAACTGACCCAGGGAAGAGGTGTAGATGGAGAATAGAAGGGGCTGAAGGACAAACCCAAACCAAAGAAAAAAAAATTCAGATTCGTTTGAATTCGGAAATTCAGGAATTTGAATGCATCCAAATGTCTGAATTTAAAGAAATAATTTCAATTCGGAACTAAACTAAACTCTCCGGTCTAATACATTTTAATACATTACATAGTAACATAGTAACATAGTAGGTAAGGCTAAATGAAGACACAGGTCCATCAAGTCCAACCTATGTATATACACTGAGTGGCCGGATTATTATGACCCCCCCCCCCCCCATCAGTACTTGGTTGGGCCGCCTGGTGACTCCACGAGATGATGAAAGGTGATGCGAGGAATCTGACACGGCACTGTTGCCCTTCTGTTGTCTTGTACCAGTCTTGCCCCTCCCCCGTTCTGCCCTAACATTGACTAGTCGCTGACGGCCACAATTCGCACGTTCAGACCCAGATTTTCGGCTGACAGTCCGGTCTTTAAACACTTTAACAATGAGCCGCTCTTGAACATGTAACGAATTCTGCTGTTTTGCTGATACTCGCTCCATGGCTCCGAGCGCCAACAATCATCCCGCGTTCCAAGGCTGTTACATCGCGTTGTTTCCCCGAATCTTCCCAATCACTTCTACTGTCGTGGTAACCAACCCGCTTCCCTATTTATAATGGTCCGGCCCTCTAGCAACTTCAGCGCCAAATTATAGCTAATTTGCCTACAAACGTCAGGTGGTCATAATAATCCGGCCACTCAGTGTATATAATAATCCGGCCACTCAGTGTATATAATAATCCGGCCACTCAGTGTATATAATAATCCGGCCACTCAGTGTATATAATAATCCGGCCACTCAGTGTATATAATAATCCGGCCACTCAGTGTATATAATAATCCGGCCACTCAGTGTATATAATAATCCGGCCACTCAGTGTATATAATAATCCGGCCACTCAGTGTATATAATAATCCGGCCACTCAGTGTATATAATAATCCGGCCACTCAGTGTATATAATAATCCGGCCACTCAGTGTATATAATAATCCGGCCACTCAGTGTATATAATAATCCGGCCACTCAGTGTATATAATAAACCAGCCACTCGGTGTATATAATAATCCGGCCACTCGGTGTATATAATAATTCGGCCACTCAGTGTATATAATAATCCGGCCACTCAGTATATATAATAATCCGGCCACTCAGTGTATATAATAAACCAGCCACTCGGTGTATATAATAATCCGGCCACTCAGTGTATATAATAATCCGGCCACTCAGTGTATATAATAAACCGGACGTCATGTAGAGATGTCAGCTGAGAGAAATCTCCTACCCGGCACTGAGATAAGGAAGCCGGCGCTGCCCATGGCTGCTGAATGCAGAATGAACGCTGGTGCTGAATGTGTAAAACTAGGAGGCCGGTATATAAAGCTGAGAATGTCACTAATGAGGTATAGGGGGCCCCAACTGGGACTGCTGGGAGCACCAAGGGCCACACATATTATTAATGTAGTGTTACGGAAAACTGCCAGAGACTGAAGACAATATGCCAGAGCTATATGAATGTATAATAATAGTGAGTGACTGTGGGGGGAGAGGGGGCATTAGAGTGTAAGCTCCTCTGTACAGAGACTGATGTGACTGTGGGGGGAGAGGGGGCATTAGAGTGTAAGCTCCTCTGTACAGAGACTGATGTGACTGTGGGGGGAGAGGGGGCATTAGAGTGTAAGCTCCTCTGTACAGAGACTGATGTGACT